TACCGGGCACACAACCATGGTCCAGTACATTCGGCTTATTCTTATTTATTCCAGGGAAGAAATAAACACAGGCTATTTCAAAGATTATTATTTATATGTTAAAATTACTGCTGAGTACCGGTATGCTTAATATTTCAGGGAGAATTCTAGATGGATCCCATAGCCAATATCAGTAGAGAAAAATCAAGGAAATGCTCTGAGCCGAAGCCAGTTTGGCTCAGTGGTAGAGCGTCGGTCTGTGGACTGAAAGGTCTCGGGTTTGATTCCGGTCGAGGGCATGTACCTTGGTTGTGGGCGCGTCCCCAGTTCCAGGTGTGCAAGAGGCAGCTGGTCGATGTTTCTCTCTCATCGACATTTCTGGCTCTCTATCTCTCTCCCCTTCTCTCTTTAAAAAATCAATAAAATATATTTTTAAAAAAAGAAAAGAAAATGTTCTGAGGTTTGTTGCAAACAATTGGCAAGTTATTTCATTCCAACTACCATCTGCTAGTCCAGCAAAATATGCTGTCCAGCAAAATATCCTCTCCAACAACATGGCTCAAATGTGACTCATGTAAACCCCATAATGAACAGCTGGAAATCTGGGACAACCAGAGTGGGAGGTACATACTGAAGTCAGAGCCAAGGCACAAGCTACAACTGCAAATTAGGACCTCTCCTCATAAAAGGACTCTCTTCATTCTTACCCATACTTTTGGTTTCCTCCCTAATACTTTTCCTTCAGCTTATCAAAATCATTTCAATCTTAACAGAAGTCTTGAGAAGATCTGAATCTGGAGAGTTTTAGCTCCAGGTTGCTATTTTGTCCTAGGCTGCAGAGAAATTTTAGACAGTGTACATGAGTCATTTCAGACTAGATCTACCCTCTCTAAATCTCAGAGCAGTTTCTTGTGCCTTAATCATTGGATAATTTGTGGCCTTTTTCATCATTGGGAAATTGATCAGACTAATCTATAAAGCCCACTTCTTTCTTGGCCCAGCATACCTGTTCCCCCAAAAAAACAAACAAAATATCATTTCTGTTTGTAGTTTGTCATAGAATTTATGGCCCTGTACTTTGCATGTTATATCCCCAAAATAAACAGGAATGTTAATAAATGGGGCAATAATAGGTAATTGGAAGAGGCAGTAGTTCAGAAAGACATGCTAGAGTTTGTCTATTAGAACAGTTACTAGAAGCTCTGATGAACTACCAGTCTGGGGCAAATTAAAAGGAGAGGAGGACAGTTAGTATATACAGACATGCAACAAGAAGCTGAAAGTACTAGTATTTCAGAAACCTCTATTCAATTTTTTATGGGAAAACTAAGCAATATTTCAAGAAGTGAAGTCTCTCTTCTTTTACTGAACACATTTATTCAACAAATGTGTTGATTATCTTCTTCCACTAGAAAGTTAGCTCTGGGAATAGGCTCCTTGCTTTGCTGCACTCCTGGTGCCTGGAATTGTACCTGGAATGTTGGAATGCTTAATAAATATCTGCTGAATAAATGAGTGAATTAATCTGAAGCAGGAAAGGGGTGAAATTTTTCTTCTTTTCTGTAGAAAGGAGATTGTTTCTACACTGTTTTCTTTACCTTGCTCTCTACAGCAAAGTCTAGTCAATCCAGCTTCCTCGTGTGAAGCAGCTTCCCCCTTACCGTTTTATGTAGTTGGACTCTTGCCCTCAGAATCTCACCTTTTATTCATGAAGTCTCTTCTTAAAAATGAGTTTTCCTCTTAAGAAGATTTTAAGCTGACAGCCATCCTGATAATAACGTTTTTACCTTTCAAAGAACTATAGACACCATCCCCAAGCAAAACTCAATGAAAAGAGAGCAGCTTGAGACATGGAGGAAGAGTATTATCAAAAGAAGTAGAAGCCTGAACCAGACCAGAACAGCCCAGCTTCTATAAGGTCCTGGATGTCAGGATCAGAGTCTGACAGTATATTCGGTTGTTATTTACGTGTATAAGATCATTTTAAAAAATAAATATCATGAATTCATTCTAATTTTATTCTATAGTTAGAAACAAGACATTATCAATAAACTCTTCTGAACTTTACAATGCTTCTAGTTGAAGCATTCCTCAAGCTGCTATAGATTGATGGAACTAGTTTGCCATACTGATGATTTTAGTCAAATCCTCCTTTTCAGGATGCCAAACTCCTTCCAGAAAGTTGCTCACTCATTACTCTTCTTTGGGTGTGTTAGGTGTTTTACAAAATGTTGTACATCATATAACAAAAGAACATCTTATCTAATAAAAGAGTAATATGCAAATTGACCATCACACCAAGATATAAGATGGCCATCACAAGATGGCCTGCAGGGGAGGGCAGTTGTGGGAAGTTAAGGGTGACCAGACCAGCAGAGGAGGGCAGTTGGGGGTGACCAGGCCAACAGAAGAGGGCAGTTGGGGAAGACCAGGCCAGCAAGAGAGGGTAGTTGTGGGGAGACCCAGGCCTGCAGGGGAGGGCAGTTGGGAGGGACCAGGCCTGCAGGGGAAGGCAGTTTGGGGATGGGGGGCAGGCCTGTAGTGGAAGACAGTTGGGTAAGGGGACTCAGGCCTGCAGGGAGGGCAGTTGGGGGCAATCAGGCCAGCAAGGGAGGGTAGTTAAGGATGACCAGGCCAGCAGAGTAGGGCAGTTGGGAGAGACCAGGCCTGCAGGGGAGGGCAGTTGAGGGGGTGGGGAGTGGCCTACAGGGGATGGCATTTGGGAACCAGCAGTTCTGGATTGTTAGAGGGATGTCCAACCACCCATTTAGGCCTGGGTGGTTGGATATCCCTCAAAGGGTCCCAGATTCAGAGGGTGCAGGACACACCCCACCCCATGTACAAATTTTTTGCACCAGGCCTCTAGAATTGTTAATAAGAGGATTTTAAAAATGGTACACTCTGCAAGAGAACAAATTCCAAAATCTAGGGCAAAATTCTCAAACTGTGGCCCCAGCCCAGCAGCCTCAGCAACATGTAGGAACTTGTTAGAAATGCAGGTTATCAGGCCCCACCCCAGACCTCTAATTGGGGCCCACAATCTGTGTGTTAATAAGCCATCCAGCTGATGCTGATTTCCACTCCCTCCATCCCCAGGTCTGAGAAACACAGCTGTAGCATCACCACACCTCCAGAGCCTCTTAATGGATGGTCCCTTTTGAACATTTTTGTATGCCAATGCTATCTCTGAATCATGATTCTTTACATTGCCTGGTCCTTTGATTCACAAAATATCTGTGGCCGGTCCTCAGATGCCCTGATTTCCATACTAGTAGATGCTCACAGCTCTCTGGCAGCCTGCCTGCTCCCTGCTCTGCACCCCTAGGCCAGTCTGCTGGTGTATTGCTTGTGCTGTGCTCTGCAGGGTAGAAGGGCTTCACCTTGATTGCTCTCCTCACTCACTGTTTAGAGCTCTCTCACAGCCTTTAGAGACCTCAAAGGTCCCCAGGGAAAGCTGCCATGGCCTTGTCCTGGAACTACAAGAGCTTAAACACCCCCCTGGGCCCACAACTCTAACATTGAGCTTCTGGCTCTCACCTGAGCTCTTGTTCACACAGACCACACGGTACTATCTTGCCTCCTCTTAGAGCAACTCACCCTCCTCTTCTTCGGCCCTCAACTTTCTCCCTGCAGGCCTGGGTCCCTTCCCCCAACTGTCTTCCACTCGGAGAGCTTATTACAACACAGAGTGCTGGCTGGGCCCCACCCAGAGGTTCTGATTCAGTTGGTCTTGCATGTAGCCCAAGAATTTTCATTTGTAATAAGCTCCTGGTTTAAGTTGGCGCTATTGTCCAGCAACCATACTTTGAGAACCACTTTTGAAAGTGAATAACACTGTACTTATTTGCAGATGAATACCTTTAAAAAAAAAATCAATCCAGTTCTGCCCCAAATGATTAGTCTCTGATGTCTCCCCCCAAAAATGTAAGTCAATTTATTTGTTTGTCTTCATGGGCAATTAAAAAAAATAAGTTTTGAGGTGACTTTAATTTTTATTTAGCAGTGGGCAGAAATTGTCAGTGTCACCTGCTGTGCTTAGTGAAATGCTTTTTCTCTCAGCGGAAAGTGTTCTCCGTTGCTCCTAAAATCTGCTGGCTGTTGGCTGTTGGCTCTGATTTCCAGTTCTCTCCAGTGAAGGTACAGTTGGGTGGGGGTGGGAAACAGTGTTCAGAAACCTTGCTGTCTGGAATCAGGGCAAAGTGCTGAGATAGGGAGCCAGAATCTTGGCTTTGAAATGAAAGTGAGACATGACTTTAACAATCCCGCCCATGACCAAAGCAGTTAGACTCCCACTCTTAAAAGGGAGGCCCTCACTTCCCCATCTTTCCCTCCCCGTCCACCAAGCTGAACCAGAAATAGCCCACAGCTCACTTCTCAGGGTGGGTGACTCCCTCCCCTTCGTCTTCAAAGACCATATTTGCAGCTCCCAGAAAAAGGCTTCGTGCTAGCAGCTGCACAAGTCGCTGCTGACATCCTCATGCAGAGAGGGGAGCTGAAACCAGAGAGAAAAATGCCAATAAGGCAAAAGCATCATTCAGATCCCCAATTCCCAATGCTGCCTGCCAGTGCCAGCCAAATCCAGGTCCACAGCCTGCATGGGATGCCTGCCCCTAGGGGCCTGCTGATGGAAAGCACAAGGTGGCCTCTGGCTTACCTTTCCTGATTTCACAGCACCACCTGGGGTGGGGACTCTTAGGAGGGATGTTTGTGGGGACCTGGGGCATAAAGCCACACATCACTTCCTAGTTTGTCTCTGTGAAAGCAGAAAGTCAACATCCAACCTACCCCCCACCCAGACTAGCTTCACTCTGATTCAAGTGCCAGAGGTCCTGGGGGAACAGTTTTCAAATGCCTCTGCTAAAGGCCTGTGCTTCTCACAGTGGTTCCCCAGGAGCATAAAATATGAGAAGTGAAACTGAAATGTCACCCTTTTAAGGAGGGGAGAGGAAGAACCACCCTGAAGGCCCTTTTTATTGGGCCTGTTATTTTTCTGTTGGTCACACACAGGCCTGGCCCGCACCATGAAGGGTTTCACTGCTGCCTTCCTCATCTGGACCCTGATCTCTGCCAGTGGTGGTGGCCCCCCAGCCTGGCCCACACACACAGCCTGCAAGGACTCGAGCTTGGAGGTGCTCTACCAGAGTTGTGGTAAGGTCTTTATCCCTTGGTGCTCAGTGGTTGAGTATCCACCTATGAACCAAAAGGTCACAGTCTGCTTCCTGGTCAAGCCCTTGCCTGGGTTGTGGGCTGGGACCTCGGTGTGGGACATGTAGGCAGCAGCCAGTGTGGGGCATACAGGAGGCAACATAGAGAGATGTTTCTATTTCTCTCTCTCCCTTTCTCTCTAAAATTAACAAAGCTATATTTAAGATAAATAAATAAATATACATTTATTGTGGAAAATTAAGGCCCACAAACATGGGCTGCTACAGCTCTTAGTTGGGGTGGGTAAAGGGTGAGAGAATTAGTGGCAGAACACTTTCTCCACTTACAGCAGATCTGCAAGGGCTATTTGGAGCCCTTAGGAAAAGGAAGGGTGGGGATAAGAAAGAGCCTGAATAAAGTGACAAAGAGAACAAGATAAAGACACCGAGAATCCAAGTATAGAATCCACTAATCCCACAGAGCCTGAAAAGGAACCCAGTGACCAATGAGTGTACAAGTCATGAAACCTCGCCTCTTCGAAATTAGGATAAGATGCTTCCAATCCCCCACCTCTCCCTCAAACTGTAGCCTTGGTTAGTTTGTTTAGTTTGCAAGTTGAGTAAAAGATCACTTAAGCTAAAAAGGAGAGTTTTGTTCTTCTTGTAACACTTCCAGAGTTTCTGCTGCAGTAGCATCGCTCATTAATGAGGCAAAAACTTATCTTGCAGTGTTAGTGCCTGGGCTTTCTCTAGTGCTGCACGTGGTAGAAGGGAATGAACCCTAGTGGTCACCCCAACATGGAAAACAGATAAACCAACTGAGATTGCAATTAATGAACAGAATGCAGGAAATGGCAATAATCAGTGTCTGAGTCAATCCTTTGGGGTTTACATTAGTCTATTAGGGATGTCATACAGAACACCCTGAATGTGGTGGCTGAAACAACAAAAAATTGTTTGGTTCCTCCTGCAGCCTCTCTCCTGTGTCTTCGCCTGGCCTTTCCTTTATGCCCACACAGTCCTAGTGTCTCTCTCTCAAAAGCCAGTCCTATTTGATTAGTGTCCATTCATATAAGCTCATTTAAGCTTAACCACCTCTTTAAAGATCCTGTCTCCAAATGCAACCATATTCTAAAGCACATATTCTAAATGACTAGGCTTCAAGGAATGAATTGGGGAAGGGACACAATTCAGTCCATTCAGGGGGCCTGAGTAGGGAGAAATAAGCCTGGCCTCAGGATCATATCTTGAATGAAGATTAGAGGAAAGCGCTTGTGAAAGCGCATGACATATGAAATATGACAATTTGGAGAAAGACTGTGGGCAAACTGTTGTCTGGATTGAAGGAGGTGGAAGGAGATCTTGTCTTGCTAAGCATCTAAGTTGGCTGTACTATATACATGCTGGGGAATAGTGGAGATGTTATGAGCAGATACCCTATCCCTGTAGCTGCCATCCAAGGAGATGACTGTCTAGACCTCTCTGAGGCAGCACCAACTTAACTTTATTCCTTTAAAAGATGGAACATGGAAAATTAAAAGGTAAATCTTTTTTTAATGTAAAAGAATGAAAAGCTGATGCTGGTGTGTTGATCTCATTACTCTTGCTCTTTCCGAGGGAATGAGATGCTATCTGCTGACATCTATTCATTTTATGTGCAGGATGACAAGAAAGACTTGAGATGAATGGATTGCTCAGGACTCATTTTCCCAATTCATCCTCCCATAAAAGTTGCCATGGCTGGTCCAGCTCCCTGACTAGTCTTAAGTTTACAACTAAGCTTGGTACAGCCTTTCAAGTTGCTGCCAGAAGAGGCAAGAGAGGCAGATGAATCAGGGAGAGAACAGGAGCATAGCATTCACTCACCTGGGGATAATTCTTCCCTCTGCTCCAGGGATCAGTGAATGTGGACACAAGCCCTGATCTGGGCATTCAGAAAAAAAAATGAAGGAGATGCTGTTCTTTTCTAAGAATAGTGGGGGTCAGACAATTAAATAACAGGGTGAGTGTTCTGTAGTAAAGGTTGGAGTAGATGCACGCATCGCACACTAGAGGACATGGTAGTTGGAGAGGTGATGTTGGGGAATGTCTGGGGCAGGGTCACAAGCTTGAATTTAACCTTAAAGAAAGATACAAATAGTAACTGTAGCATCTCATGCTCATAAAGATTTATATGTGCCAGGCATCAGGCCAAGTGCTTCCTATGTGTTATTTTACAAAAATGCTATCTGAGGGTTAGAGATGTTAGGTAATTGTCCAAGGCCACACAAACAACAGTATCAGAGTTACATCCCTGGTGGCATGGAGAAGGTGTTGAGTAAATATCTATGCAATTAATGAATTGATCTGAGGCCTTTCTGACTCCATAGCCTTTGCTCTTACTGTCCTGCTATCTATTGTTCTGTCTGACAACAAATGGAATAGAGGTGGGGAAGGAAGGAATGGCATGTGTGAAGGAAAGACATGTGACCAGGCACAGAGTTCAGAACTCTGAGGAAGGGCTGGAACAAGAGGGGATGAGAGATGAATTGGGCAATGGGGTCAAAACCTGAGTATGATGGTTAATTTTATGCGAGGAAGGTGGCTAACATTATTTCTAGTGGTGTCTGTGAGGGTATTTCCAGAAGATATTAGCATTTAAATCAGTGGACTGAGTAAATCAGGTCTCCCTCATCAGTAAGGATGGGCATCTTCCAACCTGTTGAGGGCCTGGGTAGAACAAAAAGGCAGAAGAAGGGAGAATTCACTCCACCTGACTGCTGAACTGGGCTGTACCTCCTGCTTGCAGCTCCCCTGGTTCACAGGCCTTCATACTACATCACCAGCTCTCCTGGGTCTCCAGCTCCTAGCCAGCAGATCATGGGACTTCTTAGCCTTCATAGTCATAGGAGCCTGTACCCCATAATAAATCTCCTTCTTGAATACATATGTATTATATATAATATATCTCATATATAACATGTATACATTACAGATGTAATTCCATTGGTAATGTTTCTCTGGAGAACTGACTAATACACCAGGAGATCCAGACAAGGTTGGGCTGCATCCCTCTGTCAATGAGGAAAATGCATTTTGAAAAGATCCCTCAGGTCATAGGTAGGAGTATGGGTATTAGATTGAAAGTTGTTTAGGATAGATGAGAGTTTGTAGCCTAAAGAATCAATAATTTAGGGAAGCTGAAACCAGTTTGGCTCAGTGGATAGAGCACCGATCAGTCTGCCGACTGAAAGGTCAAGGGCATGTACCTTGGTTGTGGGCACATCCCCAGTTGGGGGTGTGCATGAAGCAGCTGATCAATGATTCTCTCTCATCAATGTTTCTAACTCTCTATCCCTCTCTCTTCCTCTCTGTAAAAAATCAATAAAATATATTAAAAAATAAAAATAATTTAGGGAAGAAACTATAGGAGCTTGAACCAGCATCATTTTTAAAAAAAAAAAAAATATATATATATATATATATATATATATATATATATATATATATATATATATATATATTATTGATTTTTGTACACAGTGGAAGGGAGAGAGATAGAGAGTTCGAAACATCAATGAGAGAAAGTCATTGATTAGCTGCCTCTTGCACACCCCCTACTGGGGATATGCCCGCAACCAAGGTACATGCCCTTGACCGGAATCGAACCCAGGGCTCTTCAGTCCCCAAGCCGACGCTCTATCCATTGAGCCAAACCGGTCCCGGCTGAACCAGCATCATTTTAAGAGCTTTAATGTCAGAGGGAATCTTTGGTTCACTTGGTATCAACAGAAAGGGACGTGGAGTCCTGGGAGCTTCTCAAGAGTGTCTTCAGAGACCAACGTGCTGCACAGCCCTTCCAAGATGGAGAAGGTTTCCTTTCAGATTCTGGATTCCCAGTGGGGCAGCCGCCCTGCTTCCCCCCAGCCTCCATCCCCAAGGCCTACACATGGGAAACACAGTGCAAAGGCTACACGTGTGACGCCCTGTCCAGCCCTCGTGTTTAGGGACTTCAAGAATTCTAATATGCATGTGAATGTGGGAGGGTCAGCTGACAAAACAAAGGATCCATTGTTTTCTGTTTCATTTTTTCCCTTCTCTTTCTATTTTATAATTTTAGTGGGAATGGAAAAACCTTAGGCTACAAACTGTTTTGAATAATACAAAAATCCTTGAGACGAAAGAACCTCAGAAGCACTCACGGAACTCCGATCACTGAGCAGGAAATGAACAAACCTATCTGAAAAAACAAAAGGCCTGCTTTGTCCAACTGTTAGTGCTACAGTAAAGAAAAGAGCAACAGTCTTTACGAAAGCAACGGGGAACAAAAGCAGGAGCCTTTCTCTGGTTAAATCATAAGACAATTTGTAGGCCTAGAAAAAGCCCACGCACATGCCACAAATGGCCACCAGTGTGTTTATACACTGCCTCTATTACACATGCAGTAGATTATAAAAGTACAAGATGGGAAGATGAACTGCCAGTGAGAGAAGCAAGATAAGGAGAGAGAAAACAAAGTAAATAATAATGCCAAGGTGGTTAGGACAGGCACAACAGATGAGCAGCATAAGGGATAAGATCTTGGGGTCTGGAGTCAGCAAATCTCATTCCAACCCTTAGGCAATATTCTTTAAATCACCTGTTCTTGAATGTACAAAAGGTGTATTAGTTTCCTGTTGCCGCTATAACAATGGTGACTTAAAATGACATACATCTATTCTTTTAGAATTCTGGAGGTCAGAAGTCCAAAGTCAGTTTCCCTTGGTCAAGGCCACAGTGTCTTTGGGAAAATGTCTTTCCTTGTCTTTTCCAGCTTCTTTAACTGCATGCTTTACATTCCTTGGCTCACAGCCTCTTCTTACATCTTCAAAGCCAACAAAATAGCATCTCTCTTCAGCTCACATTGCTTTCTTCTGTGTCAAATCTCCCTCTGCCTCCCGCTTATGAGGGCACTTGTGATTAGGATAATTTCACTCTCTGAGGATCCTTAGTTTAATCATAATTGCTAACTCTCTTTTGCCAGAT